TTTTCTCTATAGCTTTCTGTGGAAAAATGAACCCATCGCGACTTTCGTAAAAGACTTTTCCTATCATAGTCAATTAAAAACCCCAACTATAATATACCATTCGATAGAAAATTTCAAGTACTACAAAATGATATATAAGATATAAAGAACCAAGAACGTTGACTAACCTATCACAAAGATAATTAAAGATAAATAGGTTAGATTTTGGTCCACAATCTAATTGATCCACAAATCGAGCTTTATCGTTCCGATTACACTGATGATATTTCGAGGTTTTCAGGTATGGAGAACTCATATGTGTACTGCGTTTCCATCGGAATACAATTAGTTGTTTGGTGACCAATAGAAATAAAGTTCTATGAAAACCGACTTTCTTCGAGTAAATCAAGGTGCAGAGTTCAAACTTGAGCTTAGTTCGGTCCCATATCCTATTGGTTTGGTAACGCGGAATATAAATCAAGATTTTAAATGGTAGATTTCCCAGTATAATTTTGATATTCAGATAGTCTAGGATGATTGATTTTTATGATTAACTTTTCTTCAGTAGACATAACTCTCGGATTTAAATCCGAAGTTTCCGCATTTATTCTCTTAGAAAATAGTAAAAATATTGTACCATTGTCTTTATTGCTATAATTTGTTGTTGAATAGATTCTACGAATATCTTATTTTAAAGCAAAAAATGTAATCTTACTAATCTTATCGTGAAAGATTCAGTTCCATCTGGACTTATAAACTACAATTATTAAGATACGAAATCAGACTGTACTTTCAAAGATATTTTGGATTGAGCAATAAAACTATATAATACAATATATAAACGCCTGGAAAAAAATAACTTTTAGTCTGTATTTTGGAAATACCATCATTATAGTTGCGTATTTTTTAAAAAAAATAATGATATATTTTGAAAGCGCATGGAGTTTTCTATCACTTCGTATCTTTGTCTTTTCGTTGAAATATATAAGTTATTAAAAAAAAACTGAGTTTAATGAAGGCATCCTCATGTCCAGATTCCCACAGATTTGATTTCGTTACTGTTACCAAGATAAGTTTTTTAAAAATTTTTCATCATCATAGAATTATTTTTAAAAAAAAAACCAATCACATATTCTGATAGAGCTTGAAATTCTCTATCAATCTGTATATTTATTAACTATTTTGTATTTATGTGCTGAAGAATAATTCGAGTATCACCTCGGCACACTCCTTGATAAACTCTAGAAGAAAATAGCTTTTTACTACGTATTTTGTTTTGTGTCTCAAAAGTACATAAAGATAGAGAATTTCAAGCTCTATCAGAATATGTGATTGGTTTTTTTTTAAAAAATAATTCTATGATGATGAAAAATTTTTAAAAAACTTATCTTGGTAACCGTGACGAAATCAAGTCTGTAGGAATCTGGACATTAGGATGCCTTCATTAAACTCAGTTTTTTTTTAATAACTTATATATTTCAACGAAAAGACAAATATACGAAGTGATAGAAAAGTCCACGCGCTTTCAAAATATATCATTATTTTTCTTAAAAAATACACAACTATAATGATGGTATTCCCAAAATACAGACTAAAAGTTATTTTTTTCCAGGCGTTTATATATACATATATATAGTTCTAAGAGTATGTTTTAGGTGAATATAATCAAAAATAATTTATCAATGTATCTATAAGAATTTTGAATCGAACTTAGATTATCTTGAAGCATAATTGAGCTCATAATTTTTTAGATAGAGAGAAAAAAGACAGTTTCGATAAATATTTATGTTTACAAGAATTGTATGTTTACTAAGAGAACCTGATATCATCCTGAAAGGGAGTACAATTCAATCCATTCATTTGTTTATATATTGCATTATAAACATATTAGTGTTAATTATTCGTGAATAATCAAATAATTGATTGACTTCTATAAAATGCACCTTTATTGTTATATAGAACTGATATTCGGTAAAAAGAGATTTTTCTTTTTCTCTTATCTGATATATATAGGGATATGCAATTAACAAAATGAACGGCATTAATGGTCTTCATGGCTGGCAATGGATCTTTATTCTAATTGGTGTTCCAGTAATTCTACTAGCTATTATCACTTTATTCTTTCTCGAAAATATGTCCGATGCTATTCGATGTGAGTTGATTAAAATAGATTTCTTTGCTAGTTTTTTGTTTTTCTATTTAAATAAAGGGTTAACTCCTGCAGAAAGAGAAATTTTAACGAATATCTTACGAGATCCCATCGACCAAGAAGTTGCACAATGGCATCAAGTATTTCATGTTTTTATTGATCCGAAAATTTGGCTTTTTGTTATTGTTACAGTCGGATGTCTAGCGGTGACAAGATATTGGATAGCATTTTTTCCAAGTCTTTTTGAAATTCTTAGTTTCAAAAATGGTGAACGTCAATTGATGTCTATTCCACCATATGTATTGGCATGGATATGCGCTCTATTAGCTGTTTTCTCTGTAACAAGAAAGAAAGAACATGGATTTCATGTAACATTCTTTCTGACAATCTCTTCAATTGGATTCATTTTGATGGCATCATTGGAAGAGAATAGTCGTATTGGAGTTTATGTTGGCGGATTTGTTGCATGTTCTGGAGTATACTCTGCTTTCCCTGTTCTTATGGGATGGTTAGCAAGTTATGTGAGTGGACATATGAAGAGAGCTTTAGCAATTGGATTTGTTGTTGGAATTGGTCAAATTGGTGGCATAATTTTACCTCATTTATTTCATGCTAATACTGTACCTGTTTTTCGTCAAGCTCATATAATCTGTGCAGTTATTATGGCAGTGAGTGCGTTAGCTACATTAGTTCTTCGATTTATTTTGACTAAACAATTGAATCATGACGATAGCATACAGCTTCAAACACCAAATATAAACAAACAAGTCAGTCAAATGAATTTTAGTACTTTTTATCTTTTAAATTCTATTTTTTTTATCGTTTCAGCATGTTAGTGTCATTTCAATTTCATGAACTATGTATTTATTTGGAAATAGATTGCTTCATTAAAACAATAATTCTTACACAGCATTACTTCATATTTGTTTTCTACTGAGGGTGGGTGTGAGCATAGCTTACTGTACGATACAAAACACATGAATCCAGCGAGGCTGTGGGGAGGGGTGTAATAGTTCAGCTCAAGTTTCAATGAGAGGAGCTGTCCGATGAATTCAGCTATTTGAGCATTTTCTTTCGAACGAACTGAACTGTTCAAACGACCAGAGTTCCTGAACTGAACTTTTCAGCAGGTATACTTAAAAGAGCCGAGCTGTTGAAAAGGTTTAGTTCAGGACCTCAAGCACTTTGAACAGTTCAGTTCTTTTGAAAGGCAATGCTGAAACAGCTTCTTTCACAACAGCTGAACTCAGCGAACAGCTCCATTGTATGGAACTTGAGCTGAACTCTTACATCCCTACTCACACCCACACTCACACCCACCCACTCACTCTCACACCCTCTCAAGGAAGAGAAAATATTTGAGCAGGAACTTGAAGAAATCCTAAACAGGATTCTGTTTCACCTTGAACGATCCTGGAAACAGGAATTAATAGGATTCGAAACAGGATCCTGAATAAAACTTGACAATATCCCTGAGCTTCAGGTTCCTGAAAGTTCCTTTCAGGGTTTCCCAAAGAGTGAACAAGATTGAGACTAGGGTGGAATTATTCTCTACCCATGAGAGTGCTTTGCAAACAACGCTGGTTATTTTGAAAAGAAAATGTCAGAATGAGAATCACAAATTCGATGCAGATCGTTCGGGCTGAATACAACATGGGGACGGGAGCACAGCGACATATGATTATTTTTTCTTCTTTAAAGAGACCGAATTATAAATTCTGTATATCGAAATAATGAAACAGAAGACTTTTATGATCAAATAATGCATGAATTATATCTGTGAAAAGTTTGACAAAAAAAACAGTGAATAGTACGTTCTCTCTTACGTTGAAATAAAATATTTTTCATCAGTGAAATCTATTACGCACAATCTTTCTTTCGCAGCAACAGCAAGGATTAACGCTCAACACACATATCTTTCCCTATAGTCATCGACGTTGTAGGCACTAATACAGTAAAGGGAATTGATCACACACGATGCTGTCCATTCAACATTCGAAACGAAAAAATACCCGTATCATGAGAATTTCTCGTCATCCTAACGGTCAATCAGTTGAAACTCATGCAAGTTCTGTAAGATTATTTTCTGAAATATATGTAAGAAAGTCTTGTCAATAATTCTTTTACGGGTCTGCTGCCCAACGAAAATAAGTACTCTACTCTTCACTATCGATCATCCAAAAACTTTTAGTATCGACAATAGTCAGGTTATTTAATATTAAAATAACTTTCGCGCAAACAGATTCTTGAGTTATTGTCGCTTCGTATCGTTTGTTAAACAGTTTTCATATATCATAGCTGTTGCTCATCATCATGGACGAAATCGGTCAGAATTTCTTATCGGGAATTTAGGAGATTTTTCTCATCTCCCTGAAGCTGGCTTCCTAATGCTAATCATTATTGCTATGGTATAGGCTGGGTCTCGAAATCAAACCACTTGTTGGTGACGCGACTCAGAATACAATCGTTATAACTATACTTCTTGTCCAAAAATGAGTTCTGTACGAGAGAACTCAATATTCCTGCAGAAATTCATCAGAATATTGTAAAAAAGTTTATGATGGTAATCAAGTGTTGAATAAGGTCATGCAATTTTAATGCTTGAAAAAAATAAACAAGAGAGATAAGTAGAATTACTTATTAAATCAAAAGAGTGAGATAAATTCTTTGGTAGTCCAATTTCTTGAGGACAATCATATATTAACAAGAACGTTAAAAGAATCAAGCTTTCACTAATTAATTGTAAAGAGGCAGCTTGATTATTATTTGTGATTACATTATTTCACTTCAGTGACACTCTTGTCACTTGGCGTATTAAACAGTTTAACAAACATTGTATGTGGATGAGCAGTGTCATGACTTTGAATAAATATTCTGCTTATATATTTTATTAAATAAATGCAACTTCCAAAGACGTTCACATAGTAATACTATCTGATCATTAAGAACTGCACGATGCATAATAAGTGTAGAAAATTATGTCTAAGAATTTGACAATAAAAGAAATCAATATCTGATAAAAAATAGACTAAAACGGTGTTACTTAGTTCTCATAAAAATCAGATCTTCTTAGCTCAAAAAATAGATTTCAACTGATTTTTAATCGCGCATTATAGTTTTATTGATTACCACTGGTTTTTTCTTCCAACTTCTCAAGCTCAGCTCTCATACAACCTGGTTTCTTGGGAGAAAAGCTTGTCTGAAAATTTCAATTTTCATCAAAAACTGATTTTTGAGAGACTTATACTGATCGAAAGGAAAGGTGTATAAAGCTGAAATTTATAGGAGAAATACATCTTTATATACTCTAGCGTTCGAAAAAATTTAGACCTCTATCATATTTTTATCACGAGTTATGAGGCACCAAAGTCACCTATAATTTGAATTTTCACTCATATTGAATGAGTCACAGGGTGGGTGTGGGTGTGGGTGTGGGTGTGGGTGTGTGTGTGTGGTGGTGTGTGTGTGGGAGTGTGTGTTAGTGTCGACTGCATCGAATAGCAGGGGTTATGCCC